TTTTTTAATAAAATTTATTAAAACGACGTAATTTTAGGATGATTTTCCTCCTAATTTTTAGGAAATAAGGCTGACATGCACTTTTTTCTATATATATTTAGATGGATATAATATTTTCTTGGGAGCGATAACCACTCTTGTTTTTAACTTTTTTTAAATAATAATGCTCATCTCTTTTATCTTATAAAAATTTTAAAAAATTATTTTAAATTTATGTCATTATAATAAACTTTTATTAAAAAATATTAAAATACTTTATTTTTAAATCATTAACTAAACCATTTTTAATTTTTTATAATATTTTATTAAATTATTTAATTTTAAAATAATATTTCTAATTTTTAAGAGATAACATCCATGCACACTAATTTCATATAAATATTGGAATAGGTATATCTTTGGGTCGGAAAACCATCCCCAGAAACTGAAAAAAAGGGAGATAATTCCTACCAAACACTTGCTCTGTTTTTTCTGCCTTTTCATTGTCTTTGGCGCGGCGGAGGTGGCGACGACTCAAAACACTGAGGAAAAGGCAACAATTCCGGTGAATGTGGGAGTGGTTCTTGACATGGATAAATGGATTGGAAAGTTAGGTTTGAGCTGCATCAACATGTCCCTCTCCGACTTCAATTCACAATTTCCTCATGTACTTTGTTTAATTCCATGAAACCTGTTTGTTTGTGGAAAAAGGAAGTACTAGTATAAGATTAAAAAAAAAAAAAGAGAGAGAAAATCAAATCATTCTACCATTTTAAATTATAAGAGTTTCTTATATATTCAACCAATCATTATCATTATTATTCTCATTTTTTACATTTTAATTGATAGAGCATCATAATTATCAAGTCATTGGCACTACAAGTAAATTGCCTTTTAGCAACGGAAGCCTATACTAACGTATTGAAATCCGTTTGTATACATCGATTTATATCAACAAAAAATATAAGCAGTTACTATACATGGATTTAGGGCCTGTTAGGTACGGTTAAAATTCAACGGATAGTGGATAGCGGGTAGCGGATAATGGATAGCGGTAACGAGTAGCGGGTGGCGGTTAGCGGATAGCGGATGGCGAATGGCGAATAGCGGAAATGGGTAGAGGATGGTAAATAGCGGATTCGATAAATATAACTATTTGACTATACAATAGTTAACGGCTGTTGTTTAATATTAAATGACTAATAA